CTCTAACTCTTTAACTTCGTTGCTACTCTCTGTCCTCTTTGTGTCGGGATATATACCTGAGATAAAGCCAGCTCAAAACAATATTCAAAATCCTTTTCTATTCAGGATAATCTACTTTGTATAAAATATGTATCTTTTAATCAGCAGCTAAGGAATATCAGCTGCCAAGAGTAAGGTGATATATGGGGATTGTAAATAGACACTTTAAAACCATCCTCAGGCCAAGAAAGAAGAAAAGAGACTTTTGCACTGCTGTATGTAACAGGCAAGATACTGTCTTCCTAAGGAGGGCGGGAAGAAAAGATAAAGGCTTTTTTGCTTTTATAGCACTATATCATTGTCTTTTCTGCTCAAGCAAAAGGTAGAAACTGTGGTGCTAAAAGAGTACATTAAGACTGTTATTTTAATGAATTAAAATTCCTCAGAAAGTTTGCATACATAGTCTATAGCCGGAAATAGGGCTTAAGGCAAACAACTCTTCTGGGATTAAAACACACATACACACACACCCCGGAGCTCTTTGACCCTGAGCCAGCCTAAGGAGTGGAGATAGTTTTCATTACATCTTGGGGTTTAGATGAGTAGAAGGAAAGTCATAAGTTATGTTTCGAAGTGTACTTTAGAATTATTGGGTAATTTAACATTTTTTAAAAATTACTTATTTTGTTTGTAATGTATATGCACAGGCATGAGAGAATGGGAGAGACACACAGAGAGAGGAAGGGAAACATCCTTGCTAAGGTCTTATCACACTGCAATCTCCTTCCTCCAGCTCTCCAGCTTATCAGGATCTTGGGCCTGTGCACATGTTTCAGGCTGGAGAACTGAACCTGAGGTTGGTCACATGGTTTCCAGCTCAGCATTTCTGTATGGTAAAGACTGGGTCACCAAGGCTGCCCTACCTTTTTCTACTTGAAACTAATGATTAATGGTATTTAAGTATAATAGCAACAACTAACTTTAAATCATGGTAGAAAAATGAGGTATAAAAATAAAATATGATCAAGGATCCACTCAAAAATGGGTAAATGACAAGAAAGTTCACAGGCAAAAATTTCAGACAGCCTTTAAATGTATGAAAGATGCTCAACTTGACTCTTAATAAGAGAAATGCAAATTGAAATAACCATGAAGATTACTTCATATGATTACCAATGATCACCTATCAGATCAGTGAAAAGTTTGAGAATACACTGTGTCAACTGAGGGAGGGGGAAATATATGGGGGGGTAATGCAAACCAGTACAATGCTGGAAGAGGCATTTGTGTGATCCCTATAAAATTTATAAATTCATATGTTCTGACAAAACAATCTACATTTAAGAATACACACACACACACGTGCGCACACACATACAAGGTGGGTAAATGTATAAAATAACATTTGTTACGGTCATTGCTTTGCGTTAGTAAAAAAAAAAAAAAGAGAGAGAGACTGTGAATAACCACATTCATAGGAAAATTGGATAAATTGTGTTATGTCCATGCAACAGGAAATATGCAACCATTAAAAAGGATGAAAAGGTTCTTTGCTTTCTGGTGTGTGCTCACCTCCACAATGTGCTAAGTGAACAATCAAATTGCACCCATGGATGTGTAGCCTGTTAAAACTGTGTAATAATGGGCTGGCCCCATAGGCTAGTGGTTAAGGGAGCCAGATCCCACATGTCTGTCTTCACTGCAATTCAAAATCTGACCCTGGTGGCTTGAAAAATACACTGGGCAAGTGTGTGTGCATACCCCAAATTCTGAAAGGATAGAGAAATGAATGAGAAGGAATTGTGGTGTGACCACACCCCACTTGGGGGGTGTTTTCTTCCTCTCTCACTCTGTCTCTCTGGCAACTTAAAAAGTACTGTGTCAATAACATCAATAATAATAAATGGATGTGCTTGTATATGTATAGGCTCTCTCTGGGAAGATACACAAGGAGCTCGTTAACAGTGGCTGTTAGAGGAAGAGGAAGTGAGTGGCCAGGAGAGACTTACTTTTACCTCTATACCACTTCCTTTCTCTTGCATTTTATTCCATGCACAAGCAACACCTGTCCAAAAATAAATCAATAATGCTTTTTTTAAGAGGAGGAGAAAACAGTATAATATATGCAGACATTTGAAAGGGGGCTTTTATCTAACTAGGGCTAAACCATAGTCCTGAGTTTCAAGTCCCTGAGCCGCAGCAGATCCGTTGTTCAGAAAGAGGCAAATAAGTCATCTTTCTTTATTTACTTTTTTTTAACTTGAACTTTACTTATTCATGTAATTATTTATTTTAATTTGACCAGAGACAGAGAGAGAGAGAGAGAGAAAGTGAGAAAGCAAGCCACCAGGTCCAGGACTCGAACTGTGGTCAGCCACGTGGGAGTCTAGTGCTCTTAACCATCACTCCACCTGCCAGCTCCATAAGTCACCTTTAAAGGCTGCATCAAAATGATCAAATGGCTTCCTACATTACTTCATTATTAAATGGATAAATCTTCATCAGTTTCCCTTAAAAATTATTCTTTCCAGTCAGCACTGACATATTTCTAGCTTCTTTCCTTCAGCTCTTTGCAATAAAGGAATCTAATAAGTAAGTGGAAGAGTGCCTGCAAGTGCAGACTGTGATGTGATATTTAAACTGTCCTTAAAATAAGAACTAATTTGTATAAGTATTATAAAGGCTTATTCACATGTACCTCTCAATATCTCCCAGCCCAATTCGTATGTTTCCCGAGAAATGCATGTTATATAAACAAACAAATGCGACCAGCCAGCATGGTGGCGAAGACCTCTGGGTCCCACATGGCTGACTGCATTGTTTGAGTCCAAGGCCCGTGGCTTGGAAAACACACTGGGCCTGTGTGCACGTGTGACCCAAATCCCGAGAAAATGAGCAGAAAGAACTGCATTGTGGCCACCCCTCTGGAGGGCGCTTTCTCACTTTCCCTCCCTTGCTCTCTCTTTCTCTCTGTATAATAGGAATAACAGGAGCAACATCCCTTACGTTTTGGTTTGTAATGGAAAACAGGCCTTTCTCTAGCCCATCTCGCTTTACAGAGCAGAGTCTGAGCGAAGCAGGTAGCAATGGAACTTCCAACCTACATACAGTGGCTCCTTCTACTAGAAATGTCTCATCCTGGGTGGTAAGTTCTTCAAAGTTCTACAGAAGCTTCCCTCCGAAGAGTACTTCTGATGCTTTCACTCAACTTTTAACTTCACTCTAAGTTTGAAACTCTTAGAATAAAGCATTGAGGGGGAAGAGGGAGGGGGCAGTTTCTTTCCTCTCCCCAAAGGAATGATTACCACTGGCATTTAGAATACCATTTCCCTCTCTTTTCTGGCTTTGACTGTGAGCATCCCTCCATACCTCCCTGCGTGAGGTAAGATAAGTATTTTGTCATCTTCTATTAATAGGGAGAGGTTCTGAGTCACAGAATTTTTCTAGCCCAGAAATAAGAGGAATAAAACTCCGCAGGATGATTAGAGCATTATTTTAGGAAGAGGACGATTGTGTTGGTACCGCATCATTTTCCTGGACAACTGCAATTGCTTCCTAATTGGTCTTCCTGCCCCCAGTTTCTCTCTCCCCTTCAGTTTACTCACCCCTTTGTTACTAGAATTATATTCTGAAATCATGTCACACTCTTGTATAAATATCTTTGATGACTTCTCCCTGCCTAAAGGAAAGTTCCACGCTCCTGCCCATGCCATTCAGAGCCCATTTCCTTCTGGCCCTACGCGTTCTCCCCTGTGCTGTTCGCCCCCATTGTCCTCCACACTTCCCGACTGCAATCCACCGTCATTCATGTCCATCGTCTAAACCTTTGCTGCTGCTGTCTGTCTCTCTTGACTACTGTATCTTTCTTCTAGCCTTCTGCCATTGGGGAGAGGGAGAAATCTGCTTATCCACAGAGTTGTAACTCAGATATTGCCTTCTCTGGGAAACCTCTGAAGAATTACGTCTTCATGGGGCCAAGAGGTGGTATGGTGGTTAAGGCACTGGACTCCCACATGGATGACTACAGTTCGAGTCCTGGACCAGGTAGCTTGGTTTCTCACTTTCCCTCCATGTCTTTTTCTGGTGAGTGTATGTGCCCTATGGCAAATGTAAAATAATAATGACAATAATAATAATTAATAAAATTAAATAACTAATTCTTTAAAAAAAAGAATTATACCTTCTTCTTGTTCCCAGAGCACTTGTTTTCTATTGTAATTACATTTATTATGTTACACTCTCCCTGGATATGTGTCTAGTCCCTTTGCCTCCATTAGACTTAGTTTTTGTGACAGCAGAGCCTAAGTCTTGCTCATTTTCATATGCCCCAGCAATCAATTTAGACCCAGACATGCAACTGATGCTCCACGAACACTTGATGCTCTTATCAAGAGGTACCTTCTCTCAGGCAAACTCATAGGCTGGTCTGGGTACAGTTTCAGGCCTCCAGGAAGGAACTCTGAGCCATGACTGTTCAAGAGGTATGCTTATAAGGGGAAATATATTAGTTATGCTTAATGCTACATTTTCTGCCATAAAATTCCAATACTTGTGGGTAAAAGGAACTATTTGATTCATCCTTCTAGACTAGACAGTTTCTGACTAGAGCTGATGGATGAGGTACTCAGATGTCTGGAATATCATTTGGAGCTTGAAAAGTGTGGTCCATCTATGTAAGCTACTCCTGGCTGCTCGACTCACATATGGTTGCCTGGGACCCTGCCCAGACTGTCTGAATCAGTCTCTGTAGGCAAGGGCAGGGTGTGAACTGGGGGAGGGACTTCCAGGTGTTTTTAAACATTTAACTCCCAGACCCACTGGACTGGCTACGAAGGTCTTTTATGCACTCACCAGAAGCCTTTGTCTAGGTAAGGGATTGATGGGGACGTGTTGTGAATCCTTTCCAGCCAGTGGTTCTCAGTCCAGGCTCAGACTCAAATTCTCTAAGGGAGTTTTTGAAAAATATCAATGCCTGAGATTCATCTCTAAGGGAGTTTTTGAAAAATATCAATGCCTAAAATTCTTTTTAGGTCAATTAAATAAGAATTCATGGAGATGTGGATTGGGCATCCATATTTTTCAAAAGCTTTGCTTCTGAGTCAATATGGTTGTACAGTAAATATCAGATTCTTTTGATCAAAATCTGGGGCCAGGCTCCAGATTTAGTTACAGTCCACATCACCTCCACTCACCCCTACTCCCCCTATCCCTCATACCAAATTTAACTAGATGAAAAAATATGTATATTTGAGCAGATAGGTTCAGTCTCACAAACTGTGTGTGGCTAGGAAGTGGTCCCCTCTGCCTTCAGGACTCTGATTAACATCACCTTGCATGAGAGGGCCATGCTGCAGCTACCTCAGCAACCAAACCAGCAGGTTTTGCTGTCCTTTCAGGGAGGAGATCACAGACTCTGGCGGGCGCTGGACGCTGCACTGTTCATCTGCAGGTGGGCTGCCTGCCTTCTTACATCTTGGTCATGCACAATCCACGGATCCTGTCACACTTCCTGTAACAACCATGTGTCATCCGCACACCAATTTTAGCAAGAGAAATAATTCAAAATCCTTTGTGCTAAATCAAATAACCCCTCAGGTCAGCAATTTGATTCACAGCAAAGAATGTCTGAGCTAATTGGCCCTCCCTAAAGCATTAGAGCACTACAGGAGTTATACTGAATTACTTGGAAGTAAATGGCCATACAGACAATATAAAAACAGGGTAGAGAAATCTCAACAAAAAGGGCTTTTTGTTTTGTTTTTCCTGAGAAACTGGTTAGGTGGGGCCTGACCTAGCTTCAGGGTTGACTTCTGAGGTTGCAGGTACGCTTGTCAGACAATTAATAAACATAATCTTGGAATCAAATGTATGCAAAAATTACCCAAGAAGCTCTCCAAAGTGGTGGCAGATTTACTCAAGGTTGGGTATGCTTCTACAATGTGTCTTTTAGCACAGCCTTTCTGACCCACGAATGGAAGATTCTTTCCAGTCAAAGGAGAGTAGCTCTCCCACCCAGCTCCATCTTTCTCCCCTTCTCTCCTCCTCCATAAGAAAAGCTCCTGCTGGGTATAAAGTGTGAGGGAGGAAGGAAATTCCCACAGGAAACGATGGCTTAAGTGCAGGACTGAGAATATAAATGTGTGCTTCTGTCAGATCACTGAGAAACAAAGGGCACAGGCCTCAGGCCAGGAGATTTCTATGATAGTTCCCCACTTGCAGAACGTACATGCAGTCCTCAGGAACAGCTGTGAGCTAGCAGTGATGGCGAAGGGAAAGTGCCTGCCACTTCAGCAGGTGAGTTTTACACTGAAGGAAATCTCTGGGATGCAGTCAGAGGTCCCATTGTCTGCAATTTATCCAGGTCTCTGGACACATTGAGAAATCTCGATTTCTGGGCTGTTTACATCAGTCACTAAAAGGAGTGGTAAATGAAGCAATAGACTCGGATCTTTAACATTCGTTTTCTAAAATGTTGTATGGGTTGTATTTCAATTCCTGAGAACTAAATTGACACTGTAATGTTTTTATATCATCTCTTTTTAGCAAGGTCAATAAACATTCATTAAAAGCTGTGTTTGTGTGTATGTGTTAACAACCAAAATGGCAAATAACAGTCAAGTTATTATTGCTTTAGAACCTTTTTACAAATTGATTGCAATAGCCCTGTGATATGGTATTCCCATTTTCTAGATTAAAGGAAAGAAACTGATGAGGGAAATTACATCATTTCATTGAGTCACACAGCGACAAAATGAGTGAGCCAGGATTATTACAGAATTCACGTTGACCTGACTTCAAAACTCCTCCTCTTGACCAGCAAGATAAAATTTAAGAAATTATGTAGAAGCAGCCATTATATAATAAGATGAATTTTAACAGGCTGCCCCAGGTCATGCTTTAGGGTCATCCTGATCAGGTAGGAAGCAGTATAAAGAGGCTTCAAAAGGACTGAGATTTGATTCTGAATTTCAGCATAACTACCTGACATTTGATCAAAGGCTTTTCCACTATAAAACTGTGGTAATGGTTTACAGGACCTGATGTGCAGTGCTATCATGATAGATTTACCATCTACACAGCTTGGTATCTAATAAATTATAGCTGTAATGTTGTCATTTTTTCAAAAACTTTATATTCATTTATTTAAATTTGACCAGAGAGGGACAGAGCGAGAATGAAAGCAAGAGAAAGAGAGGGAAAGTGAGAAAGCTAGCCGTCAGGTCCAGGACTCAAATCATGGTCGGCCATGTGGGAGTCTGGTGCCCTTAACCACCATGCCACCTGCTGGCCCAATTTTCTTGATATATCTAGACATAACTTTTGTGGTTAACCCACCAAAGAGCCTAAAACAGTGTTGCGTAGACTGGAATTTGGGGGTCTCTGGGTTCCCATCCATATGCTCTTGGAAGACTTGTGAGCTCTCAAATTTGAGAAGCTGAGCTCAAGCACTTCTCGTGTTGTTCACATACAGTCATTTCCACTGATTGCTGAGGCAAAAATAGGGTGGCAGGAAACAGGGCCTACTTAGGAAAACAGTGCTCTTACACAACAGCTGCATGGACTGCTCTCACCTGAGTAAAGAAGGAGCACAAGAAGGGGAGAAAAGTCAGCCGAGGAAACAGGACCACACAGGAGGCATAAGGCAAATATTCTGCATGACAGATAGCCTGGATACTGTACCTACAATGTGCACAACATGACGGAAAAGGGTTTGGAAAGCTGAATCCATGTAGACCCTCGTCTCCCAGGAAGGCAATTTGAGCTGTACTTTTCCCACTAAGGATCATCACTGGGGCTTTGGAAATAAAACGACAGGAAACAAGGTGCCTCGTCTTTGCTCCAAAAAACGGTAAATGAGCTTGGCTGTACTGAGCAATGCCAACTATCTGATTGTTTCTTACCTATATGTTTTATATATACTTTTACTTTTCCAACTTTGTAAAAATAAAGGCGAAGAAGTGTGGGGGGTGGGCGGCAAAACACGATGCTCTGCAGGCCAATCACATGGAAGTGTTCCTGGTGCTGGTCTGGTGACCTTCCAGAGTACGTCGGTCACGGGTGGCTGTTGCTGGGGGCAGATCACAACACTGCGACCCAGTCGGGGTGGGGGTGGGGGGTGATCTCTCACTCTGTATGTCTCTCTCACTTGTGGAAGAAATAAATAACAAAAAAGGGAGGGGGGAATCATTATTTTTCCAGTGGAACAAAGGGAACCAAAATATATGACAGGAGAAATGAACATTGCTAGCTTGAAATGAATTGCCTTGCTGGAAAGCTCTAACTTCAAAAGAATATGATAAAGTCTCTACCAGATCTTCACTGTATGTTATTCTGCATTTCATCAGATGTTGCAGAAATGCTAGCAGGATGACCAAGATGATGAGCTTCAAAAACTTAGCCAACTGGCTAAGGCTTGAGTTTCACAACAGTTCATGTTTCTTCACATCGTACCATTTTGGCAAGGTATGAAAGTGCCATCTCGTTTGTAGGAAAGCTCTGACCACCCCTTGGATGAGCCTGCTGACCGGTGACTGGCACTGCTGCCAAGTTACCTGTGCACTGAGGTCTAACGCAGCCTGCCTTCTCCCCCACTCCCATACTGTTCAGGGAAATCATTAACCAGAGCTCAGTACAGCTCTTCACCCTAGGGCGAGCTTCATCAAAGGGCCATGTGAGAAGCAGTCTGACTACAAAGCAGGACCTAGAGTTCCTACGCGGTGTCCTCATGGTATTTTAATAAAGGGGGGGATTTGAAATTCCCAGTGGCTTTCTCCATACACAGCCTATCAAGGTACATCACCCTTATTTCGCATTGTCAGTTCTTTAGTTGCTGTTGTTCAGACATAACTTCCTGCTATTTTCTGAAAGCACCTGTCAGGAGACTTCAAGGTGAATTTTTTGCACCCCATATACCCTGAATTTTAAGTCAGACTATTTTTAACATGTCCTTCAAATAATTAAATGTAGTCCTGAGGTTTGGCTGCTCTGATGACTATCTCTTAGACAGCCTCTCTTGGACCTTTAAAAGTGAATCTTGAAGGACTAGCAGATGGCGTAATGGCTATGTTGCTGCTCACATGTAGTTGACCATGGTTTGAGTCCCGGACCCAGTGGCTTAAACTCATGCTGGGCGTGTGTGTGTGTGCATGCCCAAGATCCGGAGAGGAAAATTCCCTGGGGGGGTGATTTCTCGCTTTCTGTCTCTCTGTCTCTCTGGCAAGTGCATGTGCCCTGTAGCAAAAAGCTCTCAAAAAAAAAAAAAAAAAGTGAATCTTGAATATGTAACAAGATTACATTTTAAGCCAGACCTTCCAAAAACCTTCTCCTTATTTGCAGAAATCCGTTTAACTATTCTCACATGATGTGTTAATAAATGTCATTGTTTTCCTAGAGATTACCCAAGAAGATTAAAAGTCATGCTAACATAAATCTCAAGTGCCCTCGAACTGAGGAAAATTCCTGCAAAGCTAGAATGCTTCAACAGCCCAGGGAGAATGTATAACCAAAAGATTTAATAACATTTTTTTTTGGGGGGGAGAGGTTTTTGCTATGCGGCTATGCGGCGCATGAGAGAGACAGAGAGACAGAAAGCAAGAAATCACCCCCCAGGGGGAATGGCCACACAGCAATCCCTTCTCTTCCTCTCTCCTCCCGGGATCTTGGGCACGCACGCACATGTGTCCGGCCTGAGTTTAAGCCACCAGTCCAGGACTCGAAACGTGGTCGACTACATGGGAGTCTGTGATGCAGCCATTATGTCATCTGTTGGTTCCAAGCACTTCTACTTTCTAATATAGCATATGATAATTTTTCTTCTGTCCTTACTAGAATGTAAGCTCCAGGAAGGCATGTTTTTCTTGTCTATTGTATTCACTGCTGCTTTACCAGAACTTACAATATACAAGTGAATGAATGAATGAAGTGAGGCCCAGAGAGGCTGTCATTTTACCTCTACGGCACTGCTAGGGAATGATAGGTAAGGTTAGAACTCATGCCCACGTGGTGCTCAAATGATGCCACTAGTTATGTAATGGTAGTCATGAAGATTAGAATCTAGAACATGGGCCAGTCACGTAGTGTGGTGGTTAAGGTGGATCACACACGGCCAACTGACTGGTTCAAATCTCAGAATCAGTGACTTGAAAAACATGCTGTGTGTGTGCATGTGCCCAAAATCCTGAAAGGAGAAATAGAGTAGGGATTGTGGAATGACCATCATCCACAAGGGATATTTCTTCACTTTTAAAGAATTATTTTATTTAGCTTTATTTATTTATTTATTCATTTATTTACTTTTAACTTGACCAGAGAGGGACAGGGCAGGGGGGTGGGGGGAGGTGTGCAGGAGTGAGAAAGCAAGTCGCCAGGTCCAGGACTTGAACCACAGTCGGCCATGTGGGTGTCCAGTGCCTTTAACCACCATGCCACCTGCTGGCTCCTCACTTTCTATTTTTCTCTGGTAAGCATATATACCCTCAAGCAAATTTAAAAAAGAAAAAAACAAGAAGAATCTAAGGAACCACCTGGTGGTGAGGTGGTAAAGGCAGCTGGCAGCTGGATGCTACATGGTGACTGTACTGTTCAAGTCCTAGACCCAGAGGCTTGAGGGACACCTGGGCACGTGTGTATGTGTGTATGCGCGCGCACTCGCCCAAAATCCTGAGAGGAGACTGGAGGAGAAGGGATTGTGGTTTGGCCATCCTGCTGGGAAGTGGGAGGTGTGATTTCTCACTTTTCCTCTGTCTCTCTCTGCTGAGCCACATGCTCTTTAACAAAACTGAAAAAAAAATCCAGGATATACTCTAAAACGACTATGTAGCATTCTTCTTTGACTATGAATGGCTGACTGGTGAAGAGCTGCAGTCAAGACCACTGATGCAGAAAGAACTGGGAAACAAACTAACCTGCTATCTTTGACATCTGTGAGGAAGAAATAACAGAGTCAATCTGGTGGCCCATGTTCAAAATGCAGACTTCGGAGTCCTTCGTGTTTTGGCAAGAAACAGCAGATGGATGTGAGGGTGGGGTCCACAATACCCTGTCATCTGTGTTTATGGTAACCCCTGAAAGACTATAATGGGTTTGGCCTCAAATCCTGACCCCATTCTTCACTGCTGTGACCTCAGGCAGTCCTTAATCTCTGTAAACGGAAATAATTTACATGGGTTTTCTAAAGACTGACTGGAATTATGCATATAAACACAGCAACAAGATTGTGCCCATGGTGTAGTGAAGAACCAATAGCATTATTTTCTCTCATTTCCCTTTCTCACTCATAGAATAAATACACTTTAAAACATATATAAATAAGGGACGAGCAGATGGCGTAATGACTACGTTGCTGGACTCACATGTAGTCAACCGCAATTTGAGTCCCGGACCCAGTGGCTTAAACTCACACTGGGTACGTATGTGCGTGCCCAAGATCCAGAGAGGAACATGGAAGAGAAGGGATTCCCGTGTGGCCATCACCCCTAGGGGGGGATGATTTCTTGCTCTCTGTCTCTCTTCGTCTTTCTGGTGAGTGCATGCACCCTATAGCAAAAACCTCTCCCCTCCGAAAAGAAAAAGAAAAAAACAGAAAACAAAAATGTATAAATAAAAGTCAACCAGAAGTTATAACACAGTTCCACCCATTTTGTTGACCATGATATAGAATTTGAGGTCCGTCTAGGACAGCTTCTGCTTTGCCTGACAGCTGAACTGGAATGGATTAACCCGTTTCAGGTAGCGTCTCAAATGGCTGCAAGGCAGGTCTCAAAGGGTGTCTTTGGGCTAGGAAAAAATCGGCCTAGGACCCAGGTCATTTTGCAGGTTCTCAATTTAGAAAAATACAAATATCGGCAGCTAATAGCACACTACTTTAGGTACCCATTTAATCATCACAGCGACCCTAGGAAGCAGGTATTTTTTTATTATCCCAACGTGGAACAGTCAGAGGATGTAACCAAGGTCACCCACATATGAAGAGGTGGGGGGACAACATTCAAGCTCTGGCCGCTACCCTCCGAGTTCCTTAAAGCCGCGCTTCTTCTCACAAGTCGTCAGGAGCCATTTTATTAAACCTGGTGGAAAGGACCTTCACTCTCGTTGCGCTAGGGGTCCAAAGCACGGATAAAAATTTTTTCATCGCTAAGTTTCCAAGTGTGTGACGATCCTCCCAAATCTATGTTCACACTCAGGTAACTGCACTTTCAGAACAGGTAAGTAAAATCCCAACTTCTTTCCCTCTCCTGCCCCTCCCGTCCCAGCCCCCAGTAACTGAAACGTCTGGGGCCGGGAACGTATGTAGCAGATGCAAGGATAGGGGCGTCAGCTCCAGCGCAGGCCTCCCCCAGCTGGAACTGAAGCTACCCAGTGAAATATGGGGTCTGGTTCCAAGGAATAGA